TCCCTACACAGTATTAACTTTTAAGCATTATTTAGGCCTGAAAGGCAAAAGAATGATCAGCAGTCACTCTGATATCAAAGCAAATGCCCCCAAATACTTGTTTGCCATTTCTGCATTATATTAAAATAAACTTCATAAATCCACTATTTCAAAGCTCTCAACTGCATCATCACTGTATCAATAATCGCTCTACTCACCTCCAAAGATATTTTACCAAACCAGGCAAAGAATGAGCTATATACAGAACGGATATATCCAGGAATGTTCCTGATGAGGATGAAAGCTAAAATCTGAAAAAAGGACAAGGTATCACAGAAACAGTTTAGACATTCACCAGGAAAATGATACATTTATTAGACACTGTAAAAAATACTTGAAATAAGATGTGCAATAATCTAGGCCTCAATGTGCAACCCTTTACGCACGTAATAAATTCAACTCTTCCACTTGTAAGCTTCTGTGAATCTGTGATGCCTCAGTGTTTAAGGGGCCAGGTCCATATTATGTATTCACTCAAATATAAGATGACCCTGATAATAAGCTGACACCCCAATACATAGATTTTATATATGGAAAATTTATAAATTTGACATAATTTTCCAGGTACAGAATCTAATTATTGGAAGTTTGCCTTGAATTTGTCCCCCTCCTATTGATGCAGCAGGGAAAATATATCTGGGGGAGAAGGGGGAAGGAGGTCTATTAGCCCCCCTGCCCTCTCCCCCCACAACTTTTCCCCCCTGCAGCCCTTCTGCCCCTCTTTACTGTCAGACCCTGCTCTCTCTGAACATATGGACATGAAGAGCACGTGAAAAAAAATGATCTTTAAATTTGCATACAGTACCCATAGACTTAAGTTCATCCAGAATTGATGCATTTTACCTTTTCTGAAACTGCTGCAAGTTTTAGCACAGGTACTCCATAAACAGTTTTAAGTACCACTTTGGTACCTACTTATATATGGTACAAACTAAATAATACTAGTTCAAAACCAAAAGGCTCATGGTTTACTGAATAGTTTATTGGGCTGAGCCCCAGCAGAGTCAGCAGCATTTCAAGCCATTCTGACCCCACAGCTCAGCAGTGCTCAATATGTGTGTATACTCCAGATACAGCATCCCTTTCCCCCAACAAGGATCTATGTGCTAAGTAGCCCCCCACTCATGATTTTAACCAGGTGTTCTTCTCATGAGTCCCAGGATCCTCTAAAAATTTATACGGAGATGAGGCACAGAGCAACTTGGTCCAGCTTTACCTGATGGAGGGTGGGGCTATACTAAACACATGCAACAGGCTGAGAGGGAACAACAGAGGGGTGAAAAGGTTGAGAACCTGTTTGTTGATATTTCCTAGACAGTTAAGACTGGTGAAGAAACAGGAATAATTGGAAATGAGAAAGAAAGGTGGCAGCAAAACTGTGGGAGTGAAGAGGAAGTAAAAATGTATTCAAGTGTAGTGGTTCACCATGACTTGAAATAGAGTAGTTGCTGAGGGGGACTGTGCTCAGTGCACACTACTAAGGATGTGGAAAGTTAAACAATTAATCATTTAACCAATAAGTGCAATGATAACCGTGTATCCTTTAGCTTGGGGTGGGCACAGACTGGCAGGGAAAGGGGAAATGAAGCCGTGCAGTGCACCATCAGGAATCAGAAGGCAGCAAGGCAGGTGGGAGGGAGGAAAAAGGGGCAGGGGAGGGGTACTAGCAGCCATAACCTAATAGGAAAACAGTAAGCAGCCTAATGACTCATCAAGCAAGCAATTAACTGCTCATACATTGGTGCTCCCTTCCTCCCAGCGCAAGGCTTCACATAAGCTGTTATCTGTCTGGGCTTGCCTCTTCTCCCCCTCTCCCCACAGTCAAAGGGCTCTGGGAGCCAGGTTAAATGAATAATTTTTTTAAACAGTATTTACATCCCTAGACACTACCATATATCTTATGCAGACGGGCTGTACTGCCTTTCCTTGTGGTAGGTTCCCATCACCATTTCTGCCTATTGGTTAAGATAAATGGGTACCTGTACATGTGCTCTGGGGCAGAGAGGGACGCATTTTAAAATTAGAGCACCTCTCAGAAGCTGCTTGAATTAAAATGCCTACAGTGTTTTATGTATTTAGTGTCCTGTGTTTCAAAATGGTGGCAACAGTGTTAACTAAAGCTCAGTGAATGAGCTTTATTTAAAGTGCCCCCGCTGCCATTTTGAAACACGGGATAGAGAATACATGAGGTGCTGCAGCATGCTGGATCATTCTTATTAGAATGCTATGGCAGACTCAATTAATTGCATCAGAGCATGTGTAAATGCCCCCAAGCATTTTTGGCACTAAAGGAAAGGTGTAAGGGCTGGCTCTGGCCCTCCCTGTGCTGGCTCTATGTCACAGTACCTCCAGGCCCAGCACCAGTTCCCTGTGGAGGGAACACCTGCCCATTTTTTAATTTTTTTTTTTTTTAAGGGCCAAAAAGCAAAAGCAAAAATGTTTCCCATCAGCATGCTTGCCCGATATAGGCCATGTACTTATAGTCAAGCTCAGTGTTGGCTGCGTTTAATCAACTTTATAGTTGGTTTCCATTACTAAGCACATACTGCTTTTAGCAGTAGTTCAAAGACAGACAATATATTTAATGCAATTTCTGTGTATGCAAATGTAAGATGAAAAGCTTTTTCCCTCATGCTGATTGGGGGGGGTAAAGCCTCATCTTGTATTTGAGTAGATATGGTATATACCAATGTTCAATTAGTGTATGTGCCATGTGCATACATGTTTTATTACTCTTTTACTTGGTATATTTATATTTATCAGGGCTTGTATTACTATGTACACATACTACAATAGTTATAGCCAAAGCAGCTATAAAGTGTTAAAGAAACAAGGTAACACAATCAGTAATGCAGTCTTTTTTCCACTTCATTCCATAAGTTAAAACAAAAGTTGATCATCTTCAGTTAAGGATTAAGACACACATTATATTAAAATGTTCTAAGAAACTAGATTTCGTGAGCAATTACCTGCACCACAGAAACAGAAGGATGCAGTTCATTGCACTCAGTTTTATTTTTACAGCTACTAGCCCAGATAGAGTAGGTCTGAAAGAGATAAATATACATCTCAGTCTTCACAAAGCCAGTACTTAAAAATATTACAACAGAATAAACTATTTTGATATGTTACAATTGCAGCAATGGTGTCATGTGGCGATAGGGAGGACAGATGTTTTATTTTTTCTGTGTAGTTTTGTGTTTCTCAAACTGTCTTTGCAGCTGATCAATACAATCATTTGTACTCTAAAACTGCTGACAATTTGTTGATCACACTTAGTTATCAGCTCTTTTCAAGTCTATCTTTCTATGTCTATATCATCTACCATTTTATTCTAATTAAGATTAGCATCCTTTATAATCAAATCAGAGAACATTTAAACCTACAAAGGAAAAGAGGCCAGTGAATGTTTGGGGGCTGCATAGATGGAGGCTATCTATAAAACACAGTTGAAACAAACTTCTGCAAACCAAGAACATCCTTTCTGAAGAACAAGTCCACCTACTACTAACCAAGATGTTCTCCCAAAAGCTGGCCACCTGGACAAGGACTCTCCACAATACACAAATGATATAAGAGTGTGGACTTACCAAAAAGGAAACCACTGAAATAAATAATAAAACATTTGAAACTCTGTTGGAGAAGAGAGGCTCGCCTTTCCCCTCTGAAAGCACCTGTCGCTTCTGTAACGCCAGGTAGATAAAAGCAAACAACATGCCATGAAAGACAACCTGCAAAAGAACAGAACAGTTCTTCAGACGTGGCTGTTAAGCTGCAGGTGCAGCTTAACCCTGTAATGAAGTATAGGGGATTTGTAGCATCAAAGCCCAAGTGAGAAGAGCTCCTGTTCTTGCTACATTATTAAAAACAAAACACTCACCAGACCTTAACAAGAATTAAAGTGTGTTCATTTCAGAAATATTACTCTTACTAATGGTTCAGTGAACATTTGGATATGACATTCACATTTCAAACACCATTAGATACCACCGATCAGAATCCCATACATTACTTTGGAAACAGATTCTGTTATGGAAAATAGGCTTTTAAAAGATCTCTCTCTGGATCTCCACCAACTCAGCAGGTACAAACTTCTGAAAGAGGCATCATGAGAACTCTCGTCTTATAGATGTAGGATTTTCCAGTTGGAGAAAAGAATGTTATGATGTTATTCCCTCGCTAGCTGACAACAGGCTGTAGGTCTTGCTGCTGTTGCTTGTTTTCATTTTTAATGACTTTTTTGGTATTTTGGAACTTCCTCTATGTGCTCTCCAGAGCCCACTGTGAGCTTCACAACTATGAAACAAGTGAGATTTGGAGTTTCAAAAGTGCACTAGTGTATTTAAAGGACTTACTAATAAAAAGTTGCAGCAGGGAGAAAGCATATGACTGATTAATCAGAGACCACCCAATAGAGAGAGAAAAGAATCTACAGGCTGTTTCATACCGTCACAACAAGCAAGGTAATTTGTTGCGAGGAGGTTAATGGACAAATGCTCTGACCTCACCTCCTCCTCCAAGTACCCAGACAAGGCACTACAGAGAAGAGGGAATACAATTCTTCCTTTCCAACCACCCAAGGCTGCGGGGGAGAAAGAATTCCAAAGGGAGTAGGCAAACCAGTTTACACACACAGAATTTTAAATACAGAATGAACAAAAAGATAACAGTAGCATAGACGTGCTATGTACAAAGTAAAATACTCTGATTTTTAGCAGTGCAGCATTCTCATGGACACTCCTTATTTAGATTAATCATGATAATTAACATTTCCTTGGAGTTTCTATTGAGATTTTTTTAAAATAACATTTATTTGAGGCTGATTGAATCAATTTTAATTTTCTGAAGAATATCAGTGCTGGAGGGCCAAAGAAGTTAGGAATTTCAGTGCGAAACGAAACCAAGTATGCAGAGCCCTGTTTAGGAATGCTTTATAAAAAGGTTAGCATTATCAGCAAGTCAGGGGCCTTTCTTCATAGTTTCATAGACACGTGCAGAAGCAAAAAATTGATGCTGCTTGTTCTTACAACAAACCATAAGAAACCAGAGAAAGAGGGGAAAGTGTTTTTCACATCAGTTTTTCAAGAATACTTCTCAAAACATGCAAAATTATATTTAATTCATGAAATCATTACATACATAGCGGTCTAACTTCCATCTAAACCACCATTCATAGACATTTCCATTCAGCTCAAAACACTTGGACAATGGCCACAGAGAAAATATCTTCTCAAATGCACCCTGTAAAAAACAAATATGGAAAAAATGTTAATGCTAACATAAGACCCATTTTTAAAATTTAATATCTTTTATTACTGCTCTACCCCTCTACCAGTTTAACTGGCCTGATCTTGGAGAGGCTGTGCATCATGACAGAAGTCCTGTTTAAGGATTACTTGATGCTAATAACCATCTATTAAAACGTTTTCTAAAAACAATGACATTTTCCTCTTGATTTTTCATTGACAACAGCCTCTGTACTCTCTTCCTTCTTCATACCCATTTTTCCTGATGGGTTTAAATGGAGACATGCACCAGAAGAAATGGAAACTTTACAGGAAAATCAGAGTATCTGTGTTTAAAACTAATAGAAAAAGGGTTGTTTGTTTGGTTGAGGGGGGCCTTTGGGGGAAACAGGTTAAAAAAAGAAAAAAGAAAAGCTCACAATTTAGGACTTCTTCCCATACTTCTTTTCTGACTCCTCAGCACTAAAAGGGAAGTCTAACATTCAATGAGGTTCACACCCCTAGTTATGCTCCACATAATCACTCAATAACAGGTCTACAGTTCGGCACAGACCTCATTGGCAGTTTGCAACACAACACCCTTGTGATCCAATACAAACTAATAGCATTTGCCACTCTCCCAAAAGCACACAGCACCATGCATCTAAAGTGTGCAATAGATGACTTCCAAAAAGCGTAAAAGTGAATTCGACCCTGGGGCCAGGAGCAGGACAGAGTGCAGGTGGCTTGTCCAGGGGGTATGGGGAAAGGGGTGCAAGGGGGTGGGCGACTCTTAAATGCTGTGCACACCTCCAGCGGGAGGCATGGGGGTGGGGGGGCATGTGCCCCCATGGACTTATGCAAAGGGCAAGGGCAGGCTGTGGGCTCAGAGCCAGGGGCTGCACTGGCCTCTTCTCAGTGGCGGGGGGGGGCAGGCTCAGCTGTGTGGGGTGGGTGGTGGTGACACTGGGAGGGATGGCTTACTCCTAGAGCCACCACTGCCTGCTCTATGCCACTGAGCCTGCCCCATCACCGGGAAGAGAATGGTGCAGCCCCTGGCCCCAAGTCTGCAGTGGGCAGCCCACCCTTGCTCTGTGCACAAATTCGCAGGAGGCACATGGCTCCCCCATGCCTCACCTGGGTGTGCGCACAGCATGCTAATTGTAACAAAATATGCATCCTTTTCCCCAATCAACTAGACAGGCAGACCTTGATAAAAATAGAGCAAACAGGTGTAACAATAAAAGTGTAATTTCACGCACATATCTTTGATGACTTTGGGTCATCTTTGATGACTACCAAAATAAAGTAAAGCTGCACTTTAAATATATATAATACTGTCAGAAACACCACTTTTAAGGTAAGTACTAAGAAATAAAACCCAAAGTGTATGCAAAAAAATAAAAAAATACTGTGCATCAAAAAATACTGAAATGTCTAGTGTCCCATGCAAAACCAGTTATAGAAAGGAGAAACTGAAATGTTCCATTTCCCTACCTCGCTATTCCCATACATTACAGAAAACTGATCACAGTGTTCTATCTATCCTAAGCAGCATTCAAAAGCTCAATACACAGGATATAATATGTAGTGCTTACAAACCTGAGAATATGACAGAAAATATATACACATGAGTAAGCAAATTAGTTTCAGCAGTAAGCCGAAGTGCCAGAAGCAGTTGCCTGTGGGAAAATGAAAAATAACAATGCAGTATTTATTATTTAAAGACAAAAACAATGACAAATATATTAAGTTGTCATTAACTACAGAGTACAGATATACTGTATTTTATTTACACACACAAGTCCAGATATTAATCTATATATGAATCCAGATATTAATCAGTAACATTTTGCTGTTTAAACACTGTAATTTAGTTCTTTCAGTTTGATTTGAAGTCAAATCTAAAACACAAACATTCAAAGTCACTAAATTCACAAATTTTTCTATCTGGATAAACAACTTCCATTGGCTTAAACTATTAGTGCCCACATATCCAACAATATTTAGCCCTACAAAAGGAAACAGGACAAAAACAACAAACAGGACAGAAAGGAAACAGGACAATAAGCAATATTAAGCCCTACAGAAGGAAACAGGACTTTAACCTTCATACGTTCCCATGTGGTAATTTCCTAACCCCAGACACATCTTTTGTGCAATATCCTAAAGTAAATTAATTCTAAAAAATTTTCTTTTTAGGACATTGCCACTGGCACCACAGTGCACAATATCCCCAAAGAACAGCTAGCTTACCGTTGAGCACAACTGTTGAACACAACTATTGCTGTGGATGAGAGCAATAGTTTGTTCTCATCCACAAAGAGCAAACTGTTCTAGCCAGCTTACATGAATAGTTCGTTCTCTATGGATGAAAAACTGCCCACGGTAACATGTTACCCCAAGCATGAATGTGTTTTTCCATATGGGGTAATAACTTATCCCAAGCCCATGTTAACACATTGGGGTAAACTGTTACCCCAATGCAATATCTGTATAAATGACAGGCCTAGGCCTGTTTGGCCACTTTGGGTGGATACATCTGAAAGGTCAGCATTCATTCACACCTCATTCATGTCCACTTCAGGTATCCATGGTAACTAATGGATGGCCATCCTCCCCCCCGCTTTTGCAGAAGAAGCGGTAATCCCTTTTGCTAACCACTTTGTTTGCAAGCTGCAAGGTCATCAAAACACCCTGTCCTTTGCCAAAAAACAAAAACAAACAAACAAAACCCCTTTGTCACACCCAAATCCACCTCTGCTCCTTGTCCTCACTTCCAACAAAGGCAGGGCAAACTAGCTTGTATGTTAAGAAAGGGCAAAACTCTACCTCACCTGCCCATGAGAAGAGAGAGCAGAGGGACAGCAGAGAAGAAATAGCACATCATACAGCAATACAGCATACATTATGGAGTCCTCTTCAATGGTAAGGGCTTGACACCCCCCCCCACCCCCCAATACCCCTTTTACCTGCTCTCACTAAGCCCCTGCATGTGTGGTTTCCAACCAGCATCCACCCACATTTGGCTTGCCTGCAAAGGGTGGATGTGCTGGTCTCTAGCTTCTGTGCCGAGGAGGAGAGGGTGCTACCTGCACTGCCATAGGGCAGGGCGGAATTGCTTGTGACAGCATAGGTGGACAGGCTTGTCTTTGATTGTTATTTATACGCATTCAGCAGTAATCATTTTTTTCTTTTTTTTCCTGCAGTCCAGGATGAGAATGCAGCACATATTCAGTGCTGAAGCCTGTCTTGCACAGGTAACTGGGGATGACAGTGACACATCCACTGATGAAATCTTATCCCAAGGCAGGGAAGATGCTGACTTTGTTCCAGACATGGGAGATTGTTCAGAGCAAGAAGACCATGTGTCTATGGAAGCTTCATCCAGCTCAGATGAGGAGGAGTTGGTGTCACAAGCAGAAGTGATGCCAACACTTCCAGTGGGAAAGGGAAGAGGACCAGCCTGCGGGCCGCTGTAGAAGACCATGGAGAGCTACAGCAGGATGTGGAGCAGAACCACTACCACCCGCATAAAACATTGCAGATGATAACACCGTTAGAGGAAGGAATGGCAGAGCATGGTAAAAAAGTCCACAGCTAATACAGCATCGGAGAACAGCTAAGGACATGGTCCATGAAAGTGCTGGGCTAACAACAGAAAGTAATAAAGACATGGTGGTGGAAACGTTCCACCTGTTTCTCTCAAAATATCCTGACTGTTATCATAAGAGAAACAAACAGACGCAGAAAGAAGATTCAAAGAGTGGAATGCTAGACATCCTGAAAATAGAAAGAAGTGGAAAAAGCTGGACGAAAGAGAGCTAAAAGCCTACATTGGCCTCATACTGCTGAGTAGTCTATACCACGGTGGTCACGAGGCACTGGAGGAGTTGGTCATGAGGCACGGGAGCAGCCTGCTGTCATCCCAAATCAACCAGGAGCCTGCGCCCCTAAGAAGAGCTGGGGGAAGTCATCAGACAGCTGGGGGAAAGATCAGGGAGCTGGGGAATCGAACTGGGAACGGGGGGAATGTTCAGGGACATTCAGGCCGGAGCCTGGGACTGCTCAGCCCCAGCCCCCAGGCAGCATGCAGCACCCTACCGAGCTGCACTGCACCCATGCCATGGGGCAGCTGTTGCGTGGGTGCCAGGCTGAGGGGGGCAGTGATCCTTGCTGCCCCCCCCACTGTGTTGGGGGGGGTTCTTCCACAAATACCCAGAGGCCCCAATCGCTGTTCCTGCAGCCGGTGAGTGCGGGACTTAAAAAAACCCCCAAAAAAACAAACAGTGCCGGGGCTAGGCTGGGGCTGGGGCTGACCAGGACAGCCATGGGAGCTTCTCTCACAGCTCCCCCCACCCGGGGAGAGGCAGGCACAGTCGAAGGAGCTGTGGGAAAACCTGCAGCTGCCCGGCTGTGCCTGCCTCTCCCTGGCCAATCTGAATCACCGAATCTCTCTAAATCAGCATCGAATCTTCTGAAGCCGATTCAGCTGAATCAATTCAGGACAGTGATCCGAATTGAATCACTGTCCTCCAAACCGGCCAAATCTGAATTGAATACTCCCCTATTTGCACAGGCCCGTTGCTTAGTGCTTATTTACTTTGTAGGCACCAAAGGCTGCTTTCTGATGGGATAAGCCTTCCTGGGGCAGAACAGAATCAGACTTTGTAAGAATATTAGAGCCCCAATTCTCTCAAAGGGCAGGCAAGGACTGCTTTTCTGAGAGGGTTGAGCAATGTTGTGATGAGCAGAAGCTGAATCCTTAAATACCTGACAGGTGGAATAGAAGCTGGGCTGTAAAATTCTAAACGACATCTGTTAGGTAAAATAAGCTAATGTTTAAATTGAGTCCAGGGCATATTTATTTTTCATACTCCAAAGCTGAATGGTGGTCATTGAGAGGCAGTATCTTGCCTGGGCCAGTCACAGGGACTGCTCCTTCCATTCCCATACCTCAGTTGTCCAAATTTTATTACTGTCCAAATGCCCCAGTGGCATTTCTGCAGTTTGCATTTAATAGGAAGTGGACAAAAAGGAGAGATATCAATGGGATAGATTCTGCCCCACTGGAACTCAGTGCTCCTTCTGTTCACAGCAGGATCTATTTTAATAAGACATCCTCTTTCTGGCTTGCTGGCATCTTCCCCCCTTGTCTGTCCAGTGGGTCAGCTTCCATAGAAAGGTATTCTTGGAAACGCAGCCCATGGGTTAATTATTAGGGCACTTTGCTAGGTTGTGGGAGATGTAATTTCAAACCCCCTCTCTGGGTGCATGGGTCCTTCAACTTCGGTCTCTAACTCCCTGGATATGCATCCAAACCATTAACCTATTGTATTAAAACGTGGGAAGGGGAGGATAGGGGGTTCTCCTCCTCATTTGATATCACAGTTGCTAATCATAATTTTTCTGTGACTACCATGTCTGAGACCTGCACATGCCTATATCAGTGAAATAAGATTAACAACAGAGCACAAGTGGCTGTAGCACACCATTATTAAATGCTCAGAAGGATCCAATGAGTTGTGCAGGGTACGTAACATCTAAAAATCAGCTTCAGTGGCTCACAATATCTCTTACATAGCTGAAGTCAGCTGTTTAAGTGGCACTTACCTGCAAAAAGAGGAGTTGCACTTGGGCCAGTATATCTAGAAGAGGGGTGTCAAATGTCGACTGGAGCTAGCCTGTAGAACTGTATGATCCATATGGGATCATACAGCTGTGGACCAACCCTGCATGACGCACGGGGGACATAGGCTAGACACAGCATTGAACGTAACATGGAGTCAGAACTGGTGCATTCACCGGACTAGCCCTGAACTCTGGATCAAACCCTACCAAAGCCAGTGCACAGGGCCAGTTTGGCAGGGCAGTAGATACAAGACACACACTAGACTGACCCCCTGTGTCACTTGCAGTGCACATGGCTGGTCCAAGCCTCCATGCCACTTGCAGCATGTGCTGGCTCCAGGGCTGGCCACATACATGACACATGGAGCCACCATGGGGCTTGAAGTGCATGTGGTGCATGAGATGGAACCGGTGCTGCACGCAGCACAGGGAGTTGGTCCAGCACTGGCTCCAGCATGGACCGACAGTCTGGGTCCCAATCTGGACAGCCTACACAGCCAACACACAGGGCTAGTCTGGTGGGGCACTGCATGCAGCACTGCGTCCAGCTTGCATGACACATGCAGCACATGAAGAGGAACTGGCACATGCGTTCAGTGTGCAGCCTGCAGATGCTGCATGCAGCACAAAGAAGTCGGTCTTGATTCAGCCCACAGACCAGCCCTGCTATCCTCATCCAGCCCCTGGGGCCAGATGAGCATGGCATCCCTTATCTAGAATCACCCTTGACAGTGTCTAAAAGATTGAGATTGAAACAGCAATAATATGGAAACAATCCTCAGCCAGACATGAGAGAATTGGTCCTCAAAAAAACAGCTGAGGTATCCTAGTAGGACAGAATGGCAGAAATTTGCAAAAGCACTCTTTATACTGTACCTTTTCTATGGACAAAGCATGTTTATAGGACAGTGAATTCAGTTTGAAAGGTTGACAACTACACTAAATAGGTTTCAAGAAACACTGGTATTTAAAAAAAAAATTATGAACAAGTTTTAAATGCATTCAGCAATTATTTTTTTGAAGAGAGATCAGATATATTTCTCAAATTTGGAAGTTATAATGCATATTCCAAGAAGAAAGCTCAATTACCATGTGTCATAGTTTTCACTAAAATATATCAAATGAAATTTATCCTTCCAAGTGCTATGTCTGGTGACTTCAGCATATTTAAAAATTCAGTTCTATTATTCAAATAGCCAAATCAAGACTAAAACCCTCTGACAAAGTTTTGCATATGAATAATTAATTACATTAGGATATAAATGTGTGTATTACAAACGGAAAAGAACAATATTTATTTTACCATTTGCTTTCTTCTGGACTATCTGAGGCCATACTACTAATGTAACATAGATGATCATAAACCAGACAGTGACAAGTGGAACAAAGTAATAGAACTGGTAAGGTCGATCCATCACTATGCATAACACCACAACCAAGAAATTGAGACGAAATAAAACCTGTTGGGGAGAAAAAGGTTTTCTTTATTTAGGATTAAAAGGAAAAAAAACCAATTATATTGTAACACTATATGCATTATAAACCATTAAAAACCAACAATATTACTCTTGTTGAAATTCTGATAGGTGTCTAAGGACGTCAGAAGGTATCAGTAGGTATACCCATCCTAGTCTTAACCTAGCTAACTTCAGTATCAATTACTGAAAATGAGATGGCACGGACTTCGGTGGAGACTGTATAAGTCTTCCAGGGTTACATTTTCACTTTTGTTATCTGAACTAGCCAAGTTAAAGCTAGCATGGGACTCCCACTTTTGCTGCAACAGCACTTCTGACTACAGTATGGACACGTACTAAATTAACTGTTCAAACTGTGTGTTATATGGCAACGAGGTACAGCAGAGTGATGGTCAGTGGTGGTTTGAACCAAGGCCATATTTGATGTCAAAGTGATAAACCAGTCACATTTTTAATTTATAGTTTACTCCCTGGTAGATTCCCCTAGTTACTATGAGAGAACGCTTTGTCTAGTCCTCTTTATAATGGAGCAGTTGGCTTCTGAGCAAATTGAACCAAGTCTTTCTTTTTTAAAAGAATAATCAATGGAGCTGTTGGGGAAAAAATTCCTCTTGTTGAAGAACTTCATCTTTTTACCAGAGAAGTTAAAGCCTGAAAGACAAAAGTCTTTCTGGCCAAAGATGAAAAAAGTCAATTTTTTTCAGATGAAACAAAATTAATTTTCAAGGAAACCAATACTTTCTGTGAACATCTCCATTTACCTAAAAATCCAACTTTTTAGAGGGAGGACAGGGAAACTAATGGAATACTTAGCCCTGGGTAAGGCATCATTCATCTAAGTCTAGGTATGAAATGACTGAATACAAGTCTAATCATCGTGACAAAAATGTGTCATTTAGGCACTAATTGTATTTTCTGAATTGAACTGTTTATAACAAAAAGGTTTCAGACAGCAAAGGGAAGCCAGAGATTTCCCAGCACCACCTCCTCTCCCAGTCTGCTCTTGCTCAGAAACAAGTTAGAGATAAGATGACAAGGATATCAGTGTTAGAGAACAGGTCTTGATTTCCTTTCCAGGTGAAGGAAGACAAGCACTCTACCAGCCTTTAGAAAGCATTAATGACTACAAGTAACCACTCAACAGGTTCTTAATAGCTGTGAGAGACATAGGTTCAGCACGTATGCAGAATCTCAAAACTTTTATAGCTTAAGTAAATGAAAATAGTTGAAATTTAAGCCAGAGATGACAATGTTTTTGTCCTTCCAAATTTGGATCTGCAGCCTTGGAAACAACTAATCTACCATGCTGGACTACTAAATGCAATTACTCTTTTAAAAAACTTTTTATACTGAGAAAAAATTGATTTCATTTCAAAGCAATAGCAATCTGGATTTGCCAAATGTTTTACCTATTTGTATAAAAGAAATTCAATAAAAACTACTTTAGCAGCCTCTAAACCAGAATACCCACCACTAAACAGATCGACAAGGGAAAATTGGGCTAAGAAAAAAAACCTGAAGATCTAAATCAGCTAATTTAGGTAAGACCCTTGTGTGCCAGCCTTCTTTCATCATTAGTTTATCTTTATCACTAGATACTGTAACAGTTCCAGGTGAAAAATAATAACAGTAATAAAGGAAATCATTAAATCATTATTATTATTTCTCTGATGCATTTAAGTGGGTCACCTATTTTCCCAGTACAAGTTTCAGTCATCTAAGCAGATTAAACAAATCAGATTAGGTAAGAACAATGATCATGCTGGTTTTGTGAACCTCCTCTAAAATTATTTTGATCTCATTTTTTGGGAAGCAGGCATATTTCTGTATAAAAACAGTAAGAATGATCTATTCCTACCTGAAACACTCTGTATACTCCAAAGTCTCCTTTTATCCAAAAGTATGAGAAATGCCCATAACCTGTTTGGAATAGATATGCAGCAACCAGAACTCGAATGTGCATGTACACAGGCAAAAACTGTTGAGAAAAATAATTTACTCTTTACACAGACCCACAGAAATTCTTTTTTGTCTATGCTGTCAACTCTAAGTAAATTGGGGCCCAAGGGGAAAAGCTTCTTCTGTATTTTAGACTTGCTCTCGTTTCATAAAGTTGTATGTCACTTTACACCTACTTACTAAGAAACATTATGCCCCATTTACTATTTCTTTCCTGCAAGTTCTCTTTCCATACTTCCTGAAATGTATTCAGATTTTATAACCTGAGAGAGACAAGGTCAAAGGATAAACTGCATCACGGGAAAGAAAAAAAGAAATCAAATCACTTCTCTTTGCCAAACGTATGATGCAAAATGGCATCACCAAAAAACAAATTCTCAAAAAATGGCATCTTTGAAAGCTTTCAGAACCCTAAAAGATTATAAAAGGGTAAAGCGTCAATATATTAACATATTTGAACTTGAGTTTCTTGAAGTGGCAAAAACATATTTTCCTTCAAAGCACTGACTCCAAATGATATATTATAAAAAAAAAAAATGAAATTCAATCACTTACAGTGCTTGCTCCAGAGATATGATAAATCAAAATAACAAGCTGCATCCAGCCTTTCCATTCATCTGTCTGTTCTCTATTTAACACCTTAGTCTATGCAAAACAAAACAAGAGTGTTGCTATTCCAACAAGTACAACGAACATCTATAAAATGAGGAGAGAAAGTTCAAAACAATAAACCACTTTAGGGGCAGACTGATATAAGTATTAAAAAAAAAACCTTCTAAGTAAGTGGTGTTACTTTACTAGTGGTTAATCTACTTAACTACACACAACTGATTCATTGGCATCAGTGGATGAATGAGATTTATTAACAGCCTCATCAACAAGAATGCATGTCAGCACTCTTGTATGAAAAAGCCAGTCATACCTAACCACCAGATAGTGCATAAAATACTCAATTACCATATGCAGCAGCTATATCCATTTTAGAAAATATGACTTAAATCAGTTAGCAATTTAAAAATATAATTCAATTACAATCATAAACTGTTAAATTACACAGGAAGTGATATCAGCACGATCTTTACCTCTTTGGTATTTTCGGTATAAAAAAACCCCAAAACCAAGATGTAGATGATGGGTATGAAGAAAAAGGAGTGTGTATAAAATTTGTTTTCCTTCATGAATAGATTTGCTCTGTCACAAAGATAGAAATAGGCCATGATTAGACCTAACTTGCAGAAGGACTGTAAAAGCAGCTCTAGAGTAGAAATGGGTGTATTGATAGCAGGTTTTTTCTCCTCTCCACTTTCCAAATCGGTGCATGGTTTGTTCTTCCGATGATTATTACGATGAATTAAGTTGAGAATTAAATATCCAATAATTGATAAAGTAAAAAAGAAAAATGCTAGCTTCTGTATCAGAGTGAGGGGAGGCTGGGGCTGGCAGCAGGAACCATCAATAGGCTTCATAATCTTGTTACACCAGACGTTCATAAGAATCATTGCGTTCTGTCAAAGACATGAGCATCTTTGGCTATCAATCTTTGGTTGCAACTATTATTCCCAAACAAATAAGATTATCTTGAATTATATTACATATTGACAAGGAATGACATGCATTTCCCTCATATTTTATATTTAAACAATTTATAATGTCTACATGTATCTAGTTACATTCATAGAGACAGAAAGAAAATAACCCGTCTTGTCCCGATTTAAATATACAGGCTAAATTTTTCTTATTCATTTTGGATGAACAACAAGAGCCAAATCATGGGTGCTGAACACAATCCAAATAGGCAGATCTAGGAAGGTCTTCTCTAGAGGAACCATTCGAGATGGAAAGCAATTCTTTTACCACAAGTTGCAGATCGGTCGCAAGGATGCCCTGCAACCATTAATACAGACTCAAGGTTGCAGAAACTCTTACATCAATCGTGGGCATGTAAAAGGTAATCAGTTGATTGATCTGCATACTAATAGGCCCAACAGCTCACTCCTGCTTCTCTCTTGCCCTGGCACAGAACCACATAAGCTTTGTCCATGTTGTGTGTATACAAAGGACGGTTGCCAGGAAGGGCTCCCCACAATCCATCCAACCTTCCTTATATGTTGTATAAACCTCCCCTAAGTAAGTGGTTAATGGAAGTCTCAGGACTTAACAGGCCCATGGCTGTACCTGGAGGCAACTCAATTAACTGAGTTGTTTGCAGAGTTAAGTTTCTATAAACAGCTTGGAAAAGTTTAGTAAATGGTAGAGTCCTGAACCTCCAAGCAGCTCAACATAGAGCACAGCAAGCTTTTGTAGTGCCTCCCGGGGAAAGAGGACAAGGCCCCAAGGAGGAAGGCTGGGGGCATGGCATTCTCAAAGTAAAATAGGGACTGAGAAGAACCCCAGGAGGAACTAAAAGCTAAGGACTGAGATGAATAGAAAGTGGGGGTAGGGTGTTCAGAAAGGATATTGGTCCAAATGGAGAATCAAGGAAATAGTCTGCATCTTATCACTTGGAAAAATGGAAATAGAGATGCACTGGTATATCAGTCCATATTGGATCAACACTGATAAAAGAAAAATTGACATTATTGGCAATCAGCTTTTTTTGGCTGGTGTAACTGATAATGTCACTGATAAATGTTGCATGGATGCGCGCAGCCACTGCGCGCACACAGCCAGGAATGCAGCCTGGCAGCTTGGAAAGCAGTGTCCGGCTGGTAAGTCTGTGGGGAGAAGGGATGTGGGAGAGGGAAGGGGCATGGGGGTGGGGGGAAGATCGAGGTCCCCCACAGTGAGCAAGGGAGTGGGGCTGGGGCAGGCTCTGCCCAACCAGGGTGGGGCAGGGTGCGAAATGCAGCCGCAGGCAGCTTGTCCAGGGGCAAAGGGGGTGGAGAGGAGGGGAGACTCCCACTGCTGTGTGCACCCCTGAGGGAGGCATGGTGGGGGCATGTGCCCCCCAGATTTGTGTGTGGGGAAAGGGTGGGCTGCCCGTGGCAGACTCAGAGTCAGGGGTGGAGCTGGCCTCTTCCCAGCAGGGGGGCTGGGCTGAGGCTGCACTCAGGGTAGGACGGACAGCGGCAGCAACACTGGGAGGGAAGGCTATGGTGAATTTTGGGGTGGCTGTAGCCCACCCCATAGCTACCTCTCCTAGCGCCACTGCCCACCCTACCCCCCACCTCCCCCGAGCACAGCCCTGGCCCAGCTCCCCCACCAGGAAGAGGCCAGTGCAGCCCCTGGCCTGAGGCCACAGTGGACAGCCCACCCCCCCCCCGT